GTGCTGAATCCTAATGCCCTCATCTAAGGGCCTTGGGATTTTGATGGAGGATCAGCTGGCATGGAAGATAACAACAGTAAAACACAATGCATTAAGCCTAACCAGCAGATCAATGGTCTGCCACGCCGTCCCTCTCGCTTCCCTTCAGAGCCTTCTCCAGACTCCTTCCTCCCACGATGCTGGCAAGAAAAACTCATTTAAAAATCCCCTTGTTTATCCCATCTATTTTTCCTATGAAATGGCTGCTTGCTTATGAGGAATGACAAGACTCGAGCATGGCTGGAAGGGGTATGAAGCCAATAAGGGACAAGCATGGGATTGCTGATGGATGGAGAAAGGTCTCTTGGATGCACAGCCTTCACCTCCAACTCTACACCTCATCCCTTGCAACCGGATGCATTTCCCAAACTACCAGGTCTGCACCGTCATTAACTCACTTGTTAAAGCAGACTCCACCATCCTGTCCCTGCTGCAGTCAATGCCGAACGGTGCCGGGGACGGGACCAGCGCACAGTCGCCCGCACCACTCCGCAGCACCCCCAGATCTCCCAGTTCAAGCCCAAACTGGAGCAACCTCCGCTCACCCCAAAGCGCCGAGGAACTCTGCACCGTTCCGCTTTTCCAAACCTACCCACACCGGGACTATTCCCAAGCACACAGAGTTAGTACCCACCTAAAGCGACCGGGCATCCACCCGCTTTGTTTCCCTGCTTGTTCTTAAGAAAATAATCAAGATTTCCCCAAATAAGATGCAGTGGAACGAGATGGAAAGCGGGTACCGTCCTTGACATTTCTAAGCACAGCAGATGTACTGAACTAGCTCGGGTTATTTATTTATTTATTTATTTGTTCACTTGTGTAGGGAAAATGCTTGTTACTGAAGAAACCCAAATGCTGATAAGATGATGAGAGGTTTGCATGCTGGTTGATGGTCTCACTTTCGCTTATCCTGAGTGAATACAAGTATCTATAACTAAATATTTCCCTTAGGGTACTGATGACTGAGGTATGTTTATTGCATTGAGTGAATTTATATATATAATCAGCACAATAAACATTATTAAATTGTCTGAGTAAAATCAAAGCATGAAACACACAGTCAGTGCTGAATTCTAATGATGCTGAATGCCCATGATTGCATGGGGAAAGGATCTTAACAAGCCTTGATTTGAGCTTTGGCATCCGCCTCACAAATCACACGAAATGTTCTCTCTTTAATAGTGCTGAATATTGATAAATGTCTCTGCACGGCACAACAGGGAAGTTGGTCTCTATTGGCAATCTTTACCAAAGTGTGTTTTTTCCTTCTCTACACTCAAGGGTTTACCCTGAATGATTTAATTATAATTTTCCTTGTGTAAGACAAATTAAAGAGGAGAGTAGGAGTGTCATGCCAAAGCAGATTATTTATCTCCTTAACAGATTGCTGTGCACCAAACCCCAGAGCTGCTGCTGCTGCTACTTACAGAAACTGGGCGAAATGTGGGACAAAAGCATAGATGTAATATACATTTAAAGCCCAAATGAATGAAAGCATTAACCCATTATTTATAGCTAGAATTGTTTCATCCCTGTGAAAGCCATACACGCAGAGCACGCAGAACCCGAGAGCAGCACCGTGATGCTCCCCAGCCCCTGCCCACGGATGGAGGACGCGTCCTGCTTTTGAACCCATTTTTGCTTTTCAAACATCCCGGGGTGACTGTGGCCACCTGCGTGCCGTTTGCTTTTTTTGCCCTAAAGGAGAACTTTTGTTGTCACTCACCTGCGAGCGTGGCAGCCCCACGCAGCCGCAGCGTGGCCAGGCGGCACGGCAACGCGTGGGCATGCCAAGCAGCCAATGACTATTCCTCCTGCTATTTTAAACCCCTTGTTTATAAGCAAAATGATTTTTTACCCAAGATGTAGAGCAGAGGCTGTCGCTCGCCCCATGACTTTTACGCAGGTGCCGCTGCGGTCAGCCAAGTCCCTCCTGTCTGGCGGGTCTCGAGCAGCCTCGCAACCTCTCCTGTGGGATCAGGAACCCCGTAAAACATGGCCTGAACTGTCCCAGTGACATGTGCCAGAGATGACAGTGACGATAGTAACTCCCACATAACCAACTCGCCTCCTGCAGCCCACTCCTTCTCCAAAGCCCAAGAGGAAGGAGGGAGGGGGGGGAACAGCTTTACAGCACACTCTAAAAGTTAATGTTACCTGTATATGATTATTTATTGCTGCTGGGCAGTCGTTATGATGTGGCTATGCTTAACTGTTAGGACACCTCCAGCTTTTACTATGTGCTTTTTATTGTTTAAATCTAAATAAGTAGCTCTTAGTTGTATGAGACCGAAGCTGACAGCCAGTTGCACAGGAGGTGCGGGAACAAGAGAGGGGAAGCCACAACCCAAACTCCTGCCCTGGCCAGCCCGAATTGTGGACCTCTGTAATGGGAGACAGAGGGCTGATGTGTCCCTTGTGAACCCCTCCAAACAGCCCCATCTGACCTGAACCGGGGCTCGGGACCACCGCCACGAGTCCCCTTGCATCCGCACGCTCAGCCGTGCCGCGCCAGCCGGGCACGGGAAGGCGCACAGGTCTGTCTGCAAGTTTAGCCGAGCCATGCTCCCGCCAGACCCGCCATCGTTTCTCATCTTAACCTTTGCAGTCAAAAACCAACCAAAACCCTACACATGCCCGTGCTCTCTCTTTTGCTACCCTGCTAAAATTTCACCTTCTGTGGGCTTTCAAATATACGTGTGACGGCGGAGCGCAGCTACTCTTTGCTCAGCGCTCGCTCACCACCTCGAACTCCCTGCCTGTAGATAAATACCCTCTCAGAAAGGAAGCCAGCGCAACACACATCTCAACAAGAGGAGTTTCTGTGTCATCTGAAATCCAGGCAGGCACCACGGTGCCTGATGAGACTGCAACAAAACCCTTAAGTGCATCAGTAGGCATTCTTCTGCGTGTAGTCTCCTGCTCTACTTATGGATAAAGATGTAATTCAATCACTGCAGCAAATGGATGGCGTAAACCTTCCATGTACCAAATAGAGGTAAGATAAAGGAAAGTCTGTAGCTCTCTTATTTGTATTCCTAAATACACCTATCTTTGTATTTTGATATTGTAGGGCACTCAATAGATATGTAAGGAAAGTATTATGGCGAGCTTTAACAATACAGCAATCAATTCAACCACTAAGGATTTTAAGTTTTCTAACCTATACAGTCTCCAACAATACCATGGCATGTTTACGCCTTCCAAATTAATTTATTTGGAACTTTACTAACAAAACCGTATGTATTGCCTTGTTTGTAGATCCCAGTTGCCTCCAGGCCACAATTACGGGACTCAGGCACAGGGATCTCCAGTTCTGCTTGGCGGTACACACAGAGAAAATTCTTACTTCAGAACAGATTCCTGTATTTCCACTGCGTTTCAAACTTAACAGCAACGGCATACTGTTTCCTCGGTTAGACTGCCATTAGCAGACAGCACATGCCTCTGTTCAGTGAAAGAAGATCCATTTCACTGCATGGGTTTTTGTTTTATATGCTCAGTAAGAAAAACATAGATAAAACATTTATTGAAAAGTCATAAACCCATCTTGTTCAGCTCTATATGCAGCAAAAAGGGAATTTAATTGTTTAATAAACATCAAATTGTTTTTAGTATCCCGTGTAAGTCTTCATGAAAACCATGTCCTTGACGCTTACATGCATTATAAATGTACACACTGGTGTTCCCCCCCATGTCCTTGCAATGGATATAAAACGATGCCTTACACACACAGAGCAGTTCTTTCAACAGTGGCGCGCTCTCCTTTAAAAATCTATCTATTCCCAACAGCACTATTTTCTTAATATTAGAAAGATATAAGAGGTATTTATATAGCTTCCCTATCAATCTACTCTCAGACCACCAGAAATATAAACTCCATGGCTTAAAAATTCCATTATCCTCTTTCTAATGAATGAAAGGAGGACGGAAAGACAAAGCCATCAGTTTCCATAAAATCCAGCTTTCACTAGAGTCTGCTATAACATTTCGAGATGGGCAAAGGGACTCTCCTGAATGCAAAGGAGCGCTGCCCTCCCCGCTGCTCCCGCAGACCCTCTTCCTCCTCCCTCCTCCTCCTCCTCCTCCTCCTCCGGCGATGCCGAGGCCGCGGCAGGAGCTGGCACCCACCGCCCCAGCTCCTGGGACCGTCTAGCTCACCGTAAGCAAAAGTTATGTTGTTAGACACGCCTCAGTGAAATCTGGGGGTGTAAAGAAACAAACCTGCAATAAAGCATCCTCTGGAATAAAGCAGAGCCCGCACCGAGAAGCACGTCAACAGACAACCCTTGATTTAAGCCATTTCTTTTAACAATGCACGCCTAGCAAGCATAAATTAACTCACACTTTTAAAAGCCAAACAACACCGGTTAGCTAATTTTATCAGCACTTTAAAAAAAAAAAATCCGCTTTGTTTTAGAGAAACCCAGCGAACTCGAGCCTATCCCTGTCTCGCGAAAGCAGGTAAATACAGAGTAAAAAAAAGCAAACGTGTTCGATGAGATGGGGCACTGAAATTTGGCAGAAAACCGGGTGGTAAAACAGCCTGTACTGACCAACGGATTTCTTTCCTCACCTCTAGCCCGCAAACCCAAAGAACATCAAGAGTAACACCACCTGCGATGCAAAACTCAAAAAAAAAAACAAACCCAACCCAGCTTACGCTCTTCACACTTTCCCCAATATGCTTATCCAACGCACTTCTAATTAGCTAATTGTGCCCGCATTGATCCAATTAACAAGCCATAAAGATCCCAACAAAAGGACCGTATTCTGCCCAGTGGAGGCTCTATTCAACCACGCCAGAAAAAAAAAAAAAAAAAAGAAAAAAAATCAGGCGGAGCAAGACGTGGAGGACAAAACCGAGGCCAAGGCGGTTGGCCACTGCTCCCAACCATCGTGCCATCATTTCGGCACGCTGCGCGGAGATGCTGAGGGGTGGAAACCCCACCGGCACCTACCTCTCCCGTTTAGGAGTGTGGACCGATAGCTGTCCGTTAGTTGAGGCGTGGGGGTTGATGATTAAGGAGGTCTTAGACGGCGCGGAGGAGGAGACGCAGGTGGTGGACAGGTCCAGGCTGCTGTGGTTGTTGCTGGCTGCCTCCTCCGCCGTGTGCGAGCTTGTCACTTCCTTCCAGAGCTGCTGCAGTTCTGTTGGAATCATGCCTGAAACAAACAAATTGGATAATTAAATCAATTAACAGCTAATTCGGCCGTCTTCAAACAGTAATTAAATCAAAGAGTCAGTAAACAAAGCCTAGTGTTAGTTTTGTGTGTGTGTGTGTGTTTTTGCGCATGTATTTATTTTTTTTTTAATAACTAAAAGCTAATACTGAACACCGCACGTCTCTGCTACATCTTCTGCTGTGACACCTGCAACACCTATGGACTGCAAAATCCCGTGTGTGTGAGTGGAGGAGGGGGGTCGTCCACACAACACACCACCCACCCCGAACTCCACGTTAATTATTTTTTGGAATTAAGATTACAGAGGGCCCATTTCCAGAGTCCTCACTCAGGCAGAAATCGCCCCGAGCTCACAGCAAGGCTGAAAGCAAAGGTGGCCAAGGGCTACTCCGCAGTCAGCTTGAGAAATTTCATTTTTTTTAATTTTTTTTTTTCTTTTTAAGCAAAGTGTGTACTTTCTAACCTGTTTTTTAAAGAAAGGAAGGTCTTAGAAAAAAATAAAATACTCCGCTTTTTTATTATGACAACACGAACCACAATATGACTAATTTTGTGCTTAGGTTTTAAATGATGACAAATAGCTTTGTTATTAAATACAGTTTTTATTAATCACTTTTAGACATAAATTATGAATTCATATTGTCTTCCTGAAATGCTTTTCAAATTTTAACAGTCAAATTGATTATACTATGATTATTTCATTAACACACCTATCTTTCTCATTAATTTTGGTTTCTCGAACTGCTCACTTAATTGATGGATGTGTCTACTGAAAAACTGTGTAACTTTCTATACAAGTAACACTATTATTACCGTCATTTCTTAGATCGATGCTAATGAGCCATTCAAAAGTAAAATGAAAACATAAAATAAGCTTCAAGAAACAATAATAATAAAAAAAATTAAATATTTTCTTAATTGTGCCAAAATGGACACCAGGCTTAGGACGCGGCATTCAAGAAATGAATGTAATGAAGAAATGAAGTGAAAACTTCGCAAACTCCAGTGGGCCAAAGCGAAGGCACGAAGGGGAGCTGCGCGCGTCAGCGCGACACGGGCTCACGCTGAGATCATGCTTTTGGATAAAGCTTATGTTTGTGACATGATCAAACAAGTCAAGTTTCTCTCACTGAAGACTGTTTCAGTGCTCTTTCAGAGAAGGCCATGGGAAAAAATTAGCAGTAGCGACGCATCACTTAAATATTCAGAGGAAAAAAAACAATAATAATAAAAGCCAGTGTCTGTGTGTTTTTAAAGAGGTTTCTCATCACTGCGCTTCCAGATCATCGTTTGGATGACGGTTCATTGTTTCATCGTGTTGTAGCACTGGAGCTACCCTAAGGAAACCTGCCATTTTCTGAGCGCATAGCAAGCAGCTCACAGAGGCATGTATCTCACCAAACCTAAGGTACTGAAATTAAAAAAAAAAAAAAAAAAAAAAAAGGCAGTATGCATTATATTCATTTGAAACACATAATAAAAAATGCCAAGGTCTAAATTTAATTTATTTTTGTCATTTAGAATACAATGGATAGATAATCATCTCAACGTGATCAGCCAAACATCTTTACTTTGCTAAACTGTTAAAGATTTTAATTATGCTAGCTTTGGAGAGCACTGGTCTAATGAGGCGATAGACTCCAGAGAATCTAAGTGGTTAAGAACTGTGAAATGAGTCTGATAGGATTTTTTTATATTCACCGTGGATCGTTTGCATATCAAAGAGGAGTAAATTATTGCACGACAGACCAATAACCTTCCCCGCCTTTCCGAGAGTAGCATTAACAAAAACAGTTGGTCTCTGGTAACGGTTCACTACAAAAAAATGCTAAAATCCTTAAGTATCTGCAATTAATATATATTACGAAAGAGGCTTCAATTTATACATTAAGTGATCAGATATTCTTAGGACACATCCGTTTCTCTAAAGCCACGTCATTTTTCCTTTCATCAGACCCAAACGCCAATTATATTTTGATGGATTTTGTCCCAAATGAGCATTTAGTTATTAGACATATTCAATTATTACTTGTCCCCTGAAATTAAACCTCCGAGCAAATTAAACAAAGAAAAAGGTCAGTACACAAGCCTGTGTCCTGTTTTCCTGTATCGGGGCTATTATTTTCAAACACCTTGCGAAGTGACAGTGTGGGATGTATTTTTAGCTAACACGCTTGACAGGACTGTCTGCGCACTAACAATTACCTGTGAGCACGGCTGACCCTTACACCACTGTTTACTCAATTGAAACAATAGTGAATAGACTTGTCTGTTGATGATAACATATTGATATGAGACCGTATGAGTCGACACCTATTTTTATTTTCCAGAATAAGCAAATAGGGAAAAAATAACTGGCCTTTTTTTTTTTTTTTCTTTTTGCCACCACTTCCTTATCTGGATTTCTGCAGATTTTTAATTAAGAGACAGGCTAGCACCCACTTTCCTCTCCCTGTCCCCCTTCCCCTCTCCCTCCCGGTTACTTCTGGACCTACTAATGCTTTATCCCAAGGAAAAGCTTGCAAGCATTACATCCATTAAAATACACATACACATAATATTTATACCTCACTGTAGGCCCTCTAAAAGTCAAGGGGTTTGGTCTAACTTCCTACAGAAGTGTAATTCCTATTAGCACTAACGACAACTATACCCCGTATTCAAAGAAAAATGAAAACCACCCCATTGTGTGTGGGGAAAAAAACGCTGGATAATAAGGAGGATGTACATTAAATTAAAGAGTTAACTGTGATGTCATACACGTCTGCGCACAACCCGTCGCTTAAAAAAGACCACATCGCTGACATCACTTGATTAATAAATAAAATTAAAAAAAAAAAAACAACAAACCTTTCCTCCTTCCACAAATTTAGTTCTTTTAGAATAATTCTGGAGAGAATTCCTAACTAGCCTGTCAAACTGGGCAGCTGGAAGGTATGCTCATTACTCATCGGCAAAATGGTTAAATAAAATAATAGAACAAATGGTAAAAGCAAGTCAAATACATCCACGAACACTCGCAATAAATTATGTAATTTACCATTTAACAGCTTCATTTTAACAGCGAGAGCTAAATTTTAAGTCAGATTCCCAGAACTGCGCTGCAATTACTTGAGATCGCTGCTGCCGGTGCTGCGACTTCGTACGTACCCGTAACGGGATTTAGACCTGAAACTGCCACATCTACGGGAGCAGGCGGGAACCCAGATGTCTCGGTCCTATTATTTTCACTCACTGGTGATCTGAAGTGTGATTTGCAGTTTCATTTTGCACACACTAAAGATCTAGCTCTCGCACCCCAGAACACTGCTGAAATGCGGTTTATTTTTACACTGCTACTATGTACAGCTGTAAAATCTAGATTATAGATGTGTCTAAATAGAAAGCAGAAAAGATTACACAAATATAACATTAAAGGATGTGCTATTTTGTGTAAGACAATAGGCAAGCACTAAAAACTAAAATACTGCTTTAAACAATGTATTAGTTCTAAAAACATAACCAAAAAATCACTTATGAAGTAGCATTCCCTCCTTAGAAACATTTATTACTATTATAGATACTTAAGAATAAAAGCAAAATGCTTTTAACCGAACCCATAGCTACATTTACTAGAGGGATGATTTTTTTTTATACACGCATTTACAGTATTTGTCTCAGTCTTGCAAATTCTTCTGAAAACAAAAGGGCATGACATACATCTTGTCTTTTTTTTTTTTTTTTTTTTTTTTCCCCTTCAAATAAGAAGTGTCCATTACCAATTATTTTAAACTATAGCCCTGGCCCTTCATTGCATTTTTCAGGACAACTAGTCCCCTTCATTATGAAAGAAAATGTAGGCACAGGTTTAAAAAATGTATGTTGTGGGGACAGTTGACAGATTACTGCTCACGGAACTCAATTTCCCAACCCCAGGTATCACCGGCTCAAAGACAAACAGAGTTGCTCAACCTCTTTGTGTCCTTGTACCTCCATACCCAGGTGACCATGTTCAAGCAAGCAGAAAGTTGATTTAAACCTCATAATGACATCAGTTTTAAGCCATCGTCTCTCTGATAAAAAATAAAATAAAATAAAATAAAATAAAATATCGTGCTGTATTGCAACCTGCCTGAATTCTCAAGTTACTCTTTCCTCCCGCCGCCGAGCCCCCGGCTCCCGCCGCCCCCAGCGCTCGCAGCTCGTTTCCCTGCGAGAACCAGCCCCTTCTGCTTATGTTCACGTCGTCTCCGGCATGCGAGTCGGCACCCCTTCGGTTTTAAATGCGCTTCTTCACGAGGACTAATAGTTACACTACCCTGCTAACCATATCAATCAATGCCACGACTGCTGAATTACCTACTGGTGTCTCCGATGTGTTACCGCACAGATTACACTTCATGCATCACCACATTCATTTCTTTCACATTACACATGAGCGTGTCTTGTCACTGCCCAATTGCCCTCCTTTGGACAGCTTAACTGATGTACTATACAATGAACCTTACCGAGCAAACTTAATAGTATAGGAGCTGTGGGAAAAATTAGAGAGGTTGAAGCTTGAGTCTGGTGGGTGTGTGGGAACAGCCTGGGATGCTTCCAACAATAAATCTGAAGCGTAATTAACACGCATTACAACGTTTTGCAAGTATAAATGGCATTTCGTCTACATGTCCTTTTTTCTTGGCCTCATTTCACACCTTCTCCCCACCACACCACGCACCGACGGTGCCTGACCAACTACCACTACCCGATGGTCTAACCAGGCGTCCAGCTCTGGGATGCTGGGAAGCTGAACTGAGTCTTGCAGCTGGAGGTGTCAAGTCCCCAAAAACTAGTTAGGAGCTCAAATACCATTGGCGAGCCTCGCAAAAATAAGCCGAAATAAACCACGCCAGCCACACAGCAAGGCAGACTCCGCTGCCCAGCCTCGTCTCCCTTTATTATCCCTCTAAGTTAATATTCACCATCCACCTCGCTCTCCTTTTGCAGCTACGCACAAAAAAGGAGGGTGAAGAACAGACGCAGTTTTGTCCCGTCCTTCCCATTTAACTGAGCAGAGCTGGATGTAAACTCATTATATGGTTTAGCAACTAGTAGCAGCCCTAAGGCTGCTTTGAAGAGCCCGAATCACTCAACCTGAGCTGACTCAAGCTGTTGAGGTGGATGTTTAAATTTATGATGGGGCAAGGGAAGGAAAAGGCACGGTTATTCAGAAATACCAGCATCGTGGTCTTCCCTGAGCCACGCCAATTTTGAACAGTCTGCCTTAGTCACAGCAGCCAGGGCTGAGGCAAGTCTGGTAAAACGTCCCAAGGCTTGCAGACAAACCCAGTTTAAAATCAAAAAAATAAAAAAATATTCAAGGCAAAGAGAAAAGAGAGACTAAAAACCCAGGTTGTAAACACTGTCAAAAGTATTATGATTTAAGTAGTTATTGCTTTCAGTGTATCAATATCTTTTAAAAAAAAAAATTAAAAATAGGGATTTCAGCAAAGCAGTAACTTCTTGCAGAGTGCAGGACTGAATAAAGACGTAGGAGGATCTAATTGTCAATAACACCATTAAAATTAAACGGAGTTAATCCCAGTTTGCCTCAGCGCGGAGGGAGGAACGAAGCTCCGACGCACACAGGCAGTGAGATGAAGGCTGTATAAAGAGGCAGAGAGAGGAGACACCGCCGCCTCTCCCGCCCAAAGGGCAACCAAATCTCTACAGTTGGGCAGCGTGCCGATGGGAGCTCCTCTGCGCCCGGCCGGAACCAGAAAGGGCCCAAATAACACACTGAAGAAAAGGAAAAGCTGCTCTCGTGCCACCCCTAGCCATGAACCCAGCACCACGAATCGATTTAGATGCCTCCTGCGAAGGATTTCAAGCCCGGATTACTACAACCAGCAGCTTCGAGTCCACCAGACCGGCTGTAACTCTGCAAATCGAATCCGGGCTCCGAACTGCCCGCCTCCCGCCAGCCAGAGCCGTCCACGATTTCAGCGTTGCCCTTCGCAAAAAAAATAAATAAATCTTTATAATGCCCACCCTGCCTGTCAGGATTTTTCTCTGCTTATTATTTTATGAGCCGATGAGATGTCTCTCTCTCCCCCTCTCTCTTACTGAGCGACAACCGTGTGTGCCTGTGCGTGCACGCTGCCACGTGGCCGGCGGCTCCCAAAGCCCTCACCTACCTTGCGCGAGGGGTTGCAGAGGCAGCGTGGGCTGGCCGGGCTGGATCGTTAGCAGCCCCTGACGCTGCAAGGACAGGAGGTGCTGCTGCTGCAACTGCTGCATCTGTAAGAGTTGCTGCTGAAAGGCCAACTGCTGCGTAGCCACCTGCTGTTGCTGGGGCTGGAAAAGGAAAAAGATAGTAAATAAAAAAAAAAATGTTAATAAAAACGCACTTTTGTCAATACAGAGCAAAGCATTAACAGAGGATTTACAGGGCTCCTTCTCTCCACACACTTCAGCTCCTGAGTGCCGTCACCCGGTGTGTCAAGGCAAGCCAGCGAGCCCACCGCCCCATATCAAAGACCCCGCGGCACACTTAGGTGCCGGAGCTAACCATGGGGCTGCAGTCGATTCCCACCTCCGGTGGTTACTTTCATCCTACCTAAATCCCTCCTGCCATCCCAATTAAAAATGCATGCAGCATTTCTGGGTCCACGCCACCACGTCACCCCGGTCCACGTGGTCACCTCTGACCCCCGAAGCGGCCGCGTTCCAGCGGCGGGTGACGCCAACGCCGCGGGCGGCTGTTGAAGTCGCGGGTAATTCTTGGAGGCAAAGGCACGTGTGTAACGCCGAGAATCGCACCCCACCACCACATCACACTCAGACCTAATGAAAAACAACCCCGCGCTGCGCTCTCTCTGCTCCTGCAAGGGTCGTCCCAACCATTAAGGCAACGCCACTGGCTTAATTTATGGCATTTGACGCTTACTCTCTCCTTGTCCATCCATCAAGCCCCACAATACTTTCTGTTCTGTTCGGAATTATTCTGCGCTGTATTTAAGGCTGCTACTTCTGCACTTTGAAAATTTTAATTATTCTCACTAGAAAGAAGATGGAGTTGCTTTACTCCACAGGGATGTGAACCTTGAACCTTCGAGGTGTAGAAGAACATGTTGCTTTTCTCACTACTGTACCCAGAGAAGCTTTTAACTACTCTGTTTATCACTTCTGACATAAATAAATGAGAAAAAATCAGACCTTTGAAGAAGAAAAACTTCATCTAATATTGTTAATTAGCCATGACAAACGATGAAATAACATTGTAAATCTTTCATAGAAACAGCCACTAGATTTTAATTACACACATTCATAATTTAGCAAACAACATCTTACTTGAATGTGAGTGTTTAATATGTACAGTACTCCAGGCTTCAGAGTCCTTAATTTTGTTCAGTTAAGGAAGCCTCTAGGTTTTGCTTCCATGCTCATCTTGTATTTTATTTGCTTTGTTCTTTAAAATCCATGAAAGGCTTTGCATTTTGATAAATATCTTTTTATTTATTGTACAATGACAGGAGGAAAACTTTTGTTGTGTAAAACATCAATACATCATGCCAGTGTTTAGCAGTTCCTTGTGCTAGCCAAAAAAAATTAATGTAGATTTCCTTAGTAATTATCTGAGTGATAGAAAGATAATACAGTGCAGTAGTACAATAAATAGAAGGAAATTATCTAATATCCCTAATCTGCTAGGAATCATATCAAGGTGGAGGTCTTATACACATTATGGCTAACAATTATGGAAAGAAAATTTAACTCTTGCAAAACTACACACTTTCACAAACAAACCCCGGCCAGATCCCAAGCTTTTTGTCGCCCTTCCCTGGCACCCGGCCAGAGGATCACTGGCCCCTTTCCCTGCTGGTGTCAAACAGGGGGGAAGGGGGAAAATGAAAAATAAATAATAAAAAAAAAATATCCGGGGGAGCTGCAGGAGCGGGACTGACGGACTCCGGCCCCCGCCTTCTCGCACCACCGTGCCCCATCAACCTGAATGCTGCGACCAACCGTACGCCCACGACTGTACTGACAGTCAGTCGGTCTATTTATAAAGTCAACTTATCTTACTGCCAAACAAAATCTAGGACTTCAAGAACACAGCTAAACAAACAGGTGTTTAGGTCTTCTGAAGCGCGGAGAGTTTTCGCTCCTTCGCAGCAGCTTGCTCAGACAGATCCAGTTGTCGCAACTATTTGCGACAGCACCAGATGAACGCGAGCCCCGGCAACAGTTATATTAGGAGTTAAAGTAATGTTTGCCTCCATAAATATTCATTTTCTAAATATATATACACACTTAATATGTATTTTTATATATAATAAACAGTATTACACGAAAACTTAGTCACAGTAAGCTGTTTTACCTGTTTGCCATCTGAGTATAAAGTCAGCATGTTGTTTTTGTTGGTTTTGGGGTTGTTTTTTTTTTTAAAAAAAAAACCCAACCCTTTACATAAATTGACTGATGCCCGTTTGGTTGTCTTCTCAGCTATCCTAAGAAAAGCTCTTGAACACCCTCTACTTTGAAAAGCCAGGATATAAAAGTATACAAGGCCCATTGTCCAAGAAAGAATTTAAAAGCAAGACACGTTGCCAAACTGCGCTCCCCACCCAGTTACCAAACACAGGATACAAGGCAGTTTGTTTACTTCTCACAATTCAATGCATACAAAAAAGGTCTCAGTGCAGTCCTGTTGTCAGGTCAGTAGTCAGTGTTAAAATGCTGAAATATCCTGATAAAACTTGCATTTTTGATCCCCTCCCTAAAGCTTCTGTCAAAGGTCTGTTTTCCTTTCTTAGGTTACTCCCTACTGCCTAACATAAACTGTCACAACTGCTGGAGGACAAACGGCCCCGTTTGGAAAATAACCCGCTCCGTCCAGCGCCATGGCAGACGGTGGGACCCTTCTCCTGCACTCCCTTCGCCCCGGGGGGGACCCGAATTCGCCGGGGGCGATGCTGAGCTCTCTCGCTACCAGGTGCTGCGCGGTGCTCACTCTCCGCTATGGAACCCACCAGTAAAACCCAACAAAAACCTTACTGGGGTCCGTCCGCTGTCCCGCTTGGGGGTCCGATCCCTTTTACCAGTGGGGCTTGGGCGATTTGTTGAGTTTTTCTTCTTTCACGGCACCATAGGCCGAGGCACTAAACAAAACGATTTGGGGGATGCAGTACGTGTTCCATCTGCCAAGGTGCAAACTCAGCCCTTGTTAGCACGGCAGCCGCCGGTCCCCACCGCGGCACCGCTCGCCCTGTGACCCCACCGTCGGTTTTTAGTACGAGAGGGAGGGGGGGGGGGAAAGTAAAATGAAATAAAAGACCACCGCCTGCATTCTAATTTAGCAGAAATAACCTCCTTAAGGCAGGAAAACCAGGGCTGGACCAACCTGCGGGGTGAAAGGCATCGCTGAAACGGGCCTCGACTAAAACCATGGGCAAAAACGTCCCCCCAAAACCCCAGAAAAAGCTGAAGAGACTCGGGCTCCTTGTTCTCCTAACAGCTATCGTGTTAAAATGCTCCTCTTGAAACAGGAAGGAGTCCTTTCTTATTGTTGCTTTCGATAGTGTAATATCAGAAGTGTGACCACAGTAAATCAGTGTGTTAGATATTGAAATGCCATCACATTGTCTAACTTCCCTTCTCGTCTTTTTTAACACAAAGTATTTTTTCTTTAAGCTGCAAGCCCTCATCTTTGTGTCTGAGATGCTCTCCTGTCTGACAACAGCAATTTAGAAGAGTTAACTTTTATCGTTCATTCTGCTGTGTAACTTTCCCCTTCAAATTTCTTTATCTGCCCTCTGAGCTCATCTGAACTTTCATGTTCTCCCAGCATGCAGGCTTGCATTCAAAACTATGTCTAATAGACCAAATAAGAGGTTAATAAGAAGTGGCAACAGAAAGAAAAAATACAATCCCTGGTAACTGATAAGAATGACAGTGGCAGCCCTTTATTGTTTGTCTTCAAATATAGAGTTAAAGATCTTTAAAAAACTAAATTTTGACGCCTTTGAAAAGAAAGAAGCACAAAATAACAACAGGGGGTTATTGCCTGCCAGCCACAGGGGAGAAGCTCCATAATTCTTATTCTCCCTTTTGAAGGCTGTTAGAAATCTGATTCAAAAAAGCAACAGCAGAAGGAGAAAGCCTCTTGAGGCTATCGCCATTTCCTGTGATCATGCATAATGCGTTTCAAAAGTGGGTTTTTACCAATTCTGTTGATCAATTGCACCTCCTTCATATTCCCTCTTTTTTCTGCTGTGTTTACATCTGATGTGACTCAATGACAAGCGCTGTCTGAGACTGTGAAACAGACCTGTCATGTTGATTTATGGGCGCATCAAACCACGACTTGTCCAAACTGAAGCTCGCAGTTCATTAATTAGAGAGTTGTGACTTTGAAGTCAGCTTTCAGACTGTGGTTTTTAACATTTGGCTTAATTTATATGCTCTTGAATGTGGATCTCTAAGGAAAAAACTGAAATTCCCTTCTTGTCTTTGAACTTCTTTTGACCGCACAATAATCATTTCTTTGTCCAGAGTGATGCCTGCATCCCAGAGTCATTAACGCGCATTGAACTGCCACTGATGAGTAAGCCCTACTGAATTAGAAAAACAGCCAGCAAAACAAAGCTGAGAGCATTCTGCACAGTGATATCTCACAATTACATGCCTTCCCTCCCTGTGCCATTTCCATTTTAATTACTGTTAGTCCTTTAGATTTACATTTTAGACACTTTTTAATCTGTTCCCTTTTTATTATAGTGGCGCCCGTAAGCGCGCTATGGTTAAGGTTGTGTCAGCGTTTCCATTATAAACCCCCGTATTTTCAGGGGTTTATAACTCAGCTGGAAAAATTCACTCTGGGTCGAAACTTGGCACAGGTGGCACGGTTTGCCGAAATTTCGAGGTGGAGGGCGGGGGTTGTGGGGGGGAAACGGGGAAATTGGTGCACGCTTCGAGCGGCGCCACTTGCAAAGCGACGCACAAGCGCTGCCGCTATCGCAGGACATCACGCAGCGTCTCGTGCCAAGAGGCAGCTTTCTAGGATCTACCCAAGCCAGCAGCGATGTCAGATTAAACACGGAAGTCTCAAACTCCTTGTGACCAGAGGGGTGACCTCGGTGCCTTAAAAACAAATGTAATTACAGCCAAATTAAATGTAAGCACACCGAAATCAACAAAGTTTAGGATGTGACAGGTATTTTGAAAGGAAAGCGTATTTAAAGGACAGGTAGAAACCACCCTGGCCTGACCACGGAAGGACCATGGTGGCATCAGAGAGAGGTCTCCTGCCACCATGCCACAAACGGGCAGCGTTCCCGCGCTACCTCTGCCTCTCAGACCTCGCTTCTCAGCGTCACCACCGGCGCTGCTCCGCTGCGGTCCCTCCTGCTAAGCCCCGTGCCGCGAGGAATGGGCAACCAGAACCTCTCCGGCTGGAAGTCGCCAACCCAAACTCAACATCTCTCGGCATTTTGCAGCGTTTAGAGAGGACAGCACCATCTCTGGGCCCGCTGCCTTGCCCCCTCCCCTTTACAACATAACTAACTCCCAAAAGCACTCTCCCAAGATACAAGTCTAGATGCTTGCTCCAGTACTCATACCGAACATCAAGGCATGGTCCCCCGCTATAAAATATGTGGCAGCAAGCAAATGGAAAGCACAGGAAAATACAGGCGAAAACAGGACAATAACTCTAAATCTGAAAGCTGAGACCCGATAGAGTCAGTTCAGTTGTGCAATCATTTATAAGATGAATGACAGTTTAATAGCCACTAGACAGCCCCCGGGGATCTGTGGTTTGAAAGTAAAATGGGTATTGTCTGTACCTCTTTAGGCTGTTTTCCAGCATGTTGTTGCTGTAAAAGTTGAAGCTGCAACTGTTCCTGTTGTTTCTTATAAAACTCTTGAAGCTGCTGCTACAAAGAAAAGGAAAGATGGTAAGTAACAAAGTGGAGCGCCAATTCAGTGTCCCTTTTGGTGTAACACACAAACTGTGATTTGAAAAATAGCATCCTTTTATCTGTAATGGTCTGACCTTTAGTTTGAAACTCGACAATAAATTCAGTGCACACTGACTATTCTTGGCATTATCGTTTGAAAAGTAATCTCCAAAATGAACTGATGAAAAACATACCATTTTCTACACAAACTAATTAAAATAAGGCAAGGAATGACCTTTGATTGTAACAACAAAGCCAAAATGCCCTTGCTGAGAGAGCCTGGCGAATCTCTGTTGTGAAACACACATGCTTTCTAAATGATAGGGTTTGACTGTATTAAGTGTTGTTCAATACACGCGTAGACATCCTGGGAAATACTCTCCTCCTCCCCGCTCCCCAGATGTGCACCGCGCAGGCAGCGCAGCGGCGCGGGCAGGAGGCAGCGCGCAAGGTCGGGCTGGGGCGGATGCTGACGCCCGCCCGGCGTTCGCGAGTCCCCACTGTGCCGTACCCTGCGGTAACGGAGCCTCGGGGCTACTCGGTGGCCGGCTTTCGGCTAAAAAAAAAAAAAGGACCGTGGGCTGTGAGAAACACTGACACGCCGCACGGCATACGTTGGCTGAAATCAAACAGATTAAGGCTTGCAAACCGCCTCGCTTTTATCGCCACCGTTTCCACAGTCCTTTACGGTTCCAGAAGGACACAACGAGGTCTAAAATGGGAAGTTATCACCCCACCGCCTTGTTTATTCCAACTAGCCGGGGCACACCACGCTTTCTGGGGGATGCAGGCAAAAAGCAACAGGGACATCTGCCGAAGTCCTGACACTTAAATATGCATCTGTATTATTTAGCTGATCTTGGAAACACTCCTAGCACTGCTCCCTGGATTTGTTTCCAGCAGCTATTTCTAGAATCAAAAACAAAAGAGCAGTCAGTTCATCTCAGAGCACGGCCGCCCTGAGGTTCGGACCCAAGATGAGGGCAGCATCTTTCCCCGGGAACATTTCGGGAGGCGAAGCCCTCCGGTACCTACAGGGGCCACCTCAGCAGCCGTTAAGGAAACAATTACCTGTTGAAGCATGAGTGCCTGCTGCTGCTGGAGCAGGACTTGGAGTTGCTGGGGAGTTAGCACTTGTTGCTGGAGGATCTGCTGCATTTGCTGGGGAGTGATCACTTGAGGTGTCATCATAGCCACCGACACTGGGACCTGAAGCGCGAGAGGAGAGCAAAGAGGGGTCAGAGCGCGCGGCCGCAGCCCCTCCACGCCGCCCCCGCGCCTGGCACGGAGGGGGCCGATGGCGAGAGAGTCCTCACAGCCCACCGCAGCAGGCACGCAAGGACCGACCACATCTCCCCGGCGACCGAATCCCCCTTCGGCAAAACATCATTACGATGGGAATTCTGTAAAGCGAGCAGTATGGTAAACCCCAGTCAGACTTATTTATTTTTACAAGAAACCGTCAACTGAGTCCCTTTCCCTCCCAGAACGCCCTTGCCTTGCCTACGGAAATCCAACAGCCGAGTATCCCGCGCTGATGGGATCTAGACCCTATTACGACAGGTTTTTAAGAAAATGGAAGGAAGGCTCAGCGATGTGAATAACAGCACTAGACTCCCATGCAATTTTAACAGAAAGGCCCTACCACGATGTCTTTACCATTCCATATTCACCCAGCATACAGATGTCTTCAATTCTTTCGTATTATGTGAGATACCATTAAAAGCCGCTTTCCATGACATTTCGGTGACAAACAGCTACAGTGATGAACTTGATAGCATTTCATATTTGCAACTGTTAACACGTTTCTGCACGGGCATCTTTGCAAGGAACCTGTACACTGTATCTGAAAGGATGATGTCTTGTTCAGATAAAACACTGACATTAAAATGACAGGCTGTCTTGGCCAAGGTTACACAAATTGTATTCAAGCGGATACCTAATGACAATGCTATGAATTCTGCAAGCTTTCTAGAATGTAATTTAGCTATTCAAAATAATCACTGCACTTGTGTTTAATTTGCAGACTACATGAGAACCATTTTGTCAGTCCTAGTAATGCAAGAAGACTATTTCCCTAGAAACCCACCCCTCTACCCTCCACCCCAAAAAAGGAAAAGGAGGGGAAAAAAAAAAAAAAAAACAATACAGGAAAAGACAAAACCCATATGAGTTTTAACAGTAATATTTAAGCACCTTACTTTTCTATAGTTTCAAATCAAATACATGACAGCACAAAACTAAAAGCAGTAAAGGATATACTTTGCTAAAAAGGATCTCCTGTCATCTCGTGTATTACAATAAAAGGTAATAATATGTTTAGCACTTTCTCTGTGCACCACTTTTTAAAAAATCAGCAGACAATAGCTGATCAGAAGATAAAGGAGTTTTTTTTTTAAAAAAAAGTCTTCCAGTGTAGTAGTAAGCAAGAGAGAAATGCAGTATTAATTTTATGTAACATAATGTCTTAATATGCAGTTTATCTTGACTTTTTCACATGATTTGTCCTGTCATTTGCATAGCAAGCTCTCATTCCTAATTTCACAGTCATTATGCACTGATGTCCTGATTTCTCAGCATCACTAATTTTGATGAACTAAAAATGGTTCCTGAAGGTCAGACGCGTGTACACCGCACATCTCCCCGCGTTGCTGTGTACACGTTGTGCGCCGGGGCCAGGCTCTGCCCCGAAAACGTTTGCCTGAGCAAAGCCCGGCGACGGCTCGCGCGCCTCCGGCATCCCATTAAGGCAAAGGCGGCCCAGGCCCTCTGCGCGCTCCCCGCGGCGCGGCGCCTGCCCACGCCTCTCGTGCGGTCCAGGCAGGTGTGAACGCCGGCAAACGAAGATTTAATTACGGGTCAAATGGCAGTCCCGCCAAAGCCAGCGGCCGCTCTCCCGCGGCCGGCCGTGCCACCACCTCGCCACGCAGGACCGGCTCCGAGGACACTGAGTCACCGGGACGGGTAATCCCATTGATTCAGAGCATCTTAATCCGTAGTCTTTCACAAAAGTTTTCTGGGAGTAGAAAATTATTTCATTAAATACTGCCGTCGCTATCTTCGCCCCGGAGCATGACTCACCTTCATTATTCTCATCCCCGGAGAAGTTTACTTTACCCTCGGGTTTGTACTACCTTTCATTGAAGTTGGACTGAGCAAACAGAAGAGGAAGCATGTTTAAGTGTGTTTTCTGTGCCCTTCTTGGAAGACAGACAACACAAATACTCTTCAGTCAGATTTATGACGACAAGCAGGGCTACAGACAGGAATAGGGTGGGGTGCTGTAAACCCTACACATCGGTGATTAATACGGAGGGCCGCATTCTGCCGTCAGCTATGCGGAGACAACTCCCATTCACTTCCATGGCTTTTTGCGCATTTATCTGGGGATAAATCTAAGGATTTGCGCCTGCCTTTGAAAACTGGCCGTGTACCTTCCGGTGAAGAATCGCCTAGCTGCACACTCTTGGCTAGAACAGAAGCACTTAACCAGCAAGAAAAAAAATAAATTTTATATATATATATATATATGTGTGTGTGTGTGTATATATATGGCACACCTAGGAGTACAAGTCCGCGTTGACCCGTTTAACTTCATTCTACCACCTGAAACCACATTTTCACACCACATCTGCGTCGCTAAAGAAGGTCCTGCCTTCCATTTATAAACACGGCCAACAGCCACCTTTAGCCAAAGTTTGTGCTTCAGCTTATCACGAAAGCAACCTACGGAAACCTTTCACAAACAAAACTCAAATAAACCAGAAACTACCGCGTTAAAAACGACACGCACGCCCCCGACAAGCGTGGGCACACGTACGGTTTGAGGACTTTAAGCAGTTAAGAACGACGGCCTATACATCCACTCTCTTAACTCCCAACATCCAACTTTTTCATGTAGCTAGTCCCTAGTAATACTGGGAATCAAAGGGCATGCAGCACCAGCAATAGGCTATTATAGCCCACACTTTATTACCCATTACTACCGAGGTCATTAGCGGTAAGAGTGATTGTACTGGTCTTAACCTATTGATCATTGTAACTACTATCATTTAATCCCGTGTTGAATGTCTGGAAAGCTGCTAAAGGCACACAAGAGAGAGTGCTTTAGCGATGAGAAATATAGCCAAAGCTTGGAAATTACACTTTGATTCATAAAATCTAGCCAGTGGTTTAAATCAATAGTATTTAAAACAGTCATGTAAGTTCTTAACTACAGCTCTCTAATATTTATGGGTCCCTTTTTGAGTGTATTCAGTCAAAACTAAACTTTATTTTAGATACTGTGCAATATACTTTACATTACGTTAGATAAAAAAATATTTATTTCTGATATTTTGTCCGATAGTAAATGAAACCTAAACTGAGGGCTATAAATTAATTTTAGATTTCTATCTCTCAGATGTCAACTTAAATGTGTTGCCAAAAAAAATTACAAACCGACTTTAAAAATGGCTTAACCGTTTAAGTACATGAAAATGCGTGTGTTTTATGAGTTAACAATGAATCACAGAAGGCAGTTTATGAAGAACTAAAATAATTCTGTCTTACTGCCTTCAGGGAGTTGAAGTTCGAATTAAACTACTGGCAGATATATTTAAAGAATGCTAAGTTAGCATGCAGAGCAGAAATCAATCTTTTCCTTTTTTTTTTTTTTTAAAGTTGTTTATTTCTATTTTCCACATGAAACACGATTGTTGTTATTGATATGATTAATGAACTACTTTTGGTATTGTTGACTGATAACAATAGGGTGTGGTAGATACCCAGCTGCATGTAAACCTGGCAGCAAAGGTAAAAATACAGCTGCAATTTGGCTTTCGGAGCTGTACTAGTATAGACCTGCTGACATGCTAATACCATCAACGGCAAAAAATGTCTTTAATACTCACAATTGTTTTCAGACACTATTTCTCCCAGGGTTTTGCCTGCTGCTCCTCCGCATCCCCCAAAACCCTCCCGTCCCCCCGCAGTCACCTCCGCTACCCCCCGGTTTCAAGCTCTGCAAACACGCCGTATTTTGGCCAGACCGACCAAGGAAAACTTCCACAGACTTGGGCCAAGTTCACCTTTAACTTCGCAACGGAGTGGCAGCAGGGATGCATTTGTCACTCCTCCATACAACCCAGACAAGGGTCACGGGGATGAAAATGATTTAGTCCTATTTAATCATCTCCATTCCCCCATTTTCAGTGATATTAATATAATTAAATACTAGCTAAATAATTTCAAGTAGTTTAATCTTGTATGAAGTGAAAAAAAAATTTAAAAAAAAAAATACCATTTTCACACAATGTGCCTTCGATGTTGGATACGGTTGTGCTCCTGTTAACTGTTAGCAGGCACGCGTGGAAGATGGGGAGGATTTCCTTAATTCATAAAAGAATAACTCTGCCAGAAAATCCTTTTCTCCTGCAACGTACGTCCAAAACTTGATTTCAGTAAGACCTCATACCAGGCACCTTGGATTTCCAAACAGCAATGCTTCGCTTAAAGATTTTGTGCGAAAAGTCAAACGGGGCTGAACGTAGCTGAAGGCAGGAAGGGCAAGCAGCTGAGGAACACTGAAAAAATACTGGGCTACAAATAAAAGTAGACAGAGCTAGGCAAATACAAACAATTGACCCGAGCTGCCTTATTAGAAAGCTATTATGTGCAATACATTGAAATGTAAAAAAAAAAAAAATCTCAGCCGAAACAATGCAAAGCAGCGCTGCTCACGCCACAGGAGAAGATAAACCACTGATACACCGGCAAACGGAGCGGCACGATGCCACAAGCCAGAGCTGAGCCCGGCAGCGTCACAAGTGCTGAAGGCAGGACCTGCTCCCATCCCCAGACTAAAACATTTCCGACACAAGATCTAATCCTCCAAAATAACAACAACAACAACAAAAAATACGCCGCTGCTGGAATTATTCACGCAGAAACTGCAATGCCGTTTCATTATGCAAAATGGAATCTCACTTTTAGACTTAGTTATTTTGCCATAATACAGTACGACACATTAAGACAGGTAATGTTTATTGTATTAATGTAAAATCAAGCTAAGTAGTCTGTCATTAGCATAACTGTTCTCTCCGTAACAATACAACTCCCTATTAAAAGAGGGGGGGGGGGGAACCCTCTTTAAAATTAAATTAGCATTTTATTATAATAATTTTGTTTATTATATTTTATCAGGAGGGAAAATCTCCCTCTGACCCACG